GTCCTACGACATGATTGAGTGTACGACATGATTGAGTGACCGGAGGAACAGAAATGCATGCGACTCACCGTTCGATGCGGAGAACCATGGATGGTGTGCTACCCCAGCGAATATCACCAAGAAGACTAACATCAGGCAGGAACCGTTGGAAGATCAATGGTAGAAATGGAGGTTGCGATAAATGTGTAACAAAGCAAAACACTGATTACTGACTATTTGAAAAATGGAGGTTTATTAACTTAAGTAACTTTAGTAATAATAAAGATTGAATTTGTAATAAACTTTGATAAGTATAAAAACTGAAACTCTAATGTGAAAGTTTAAAATCTAAAAATTAAGAATCCAATGATTTCTAAAATATATTAGTCACTTGTTTCATAATTCGGTATTAAAACTTTAACACTTATTTTATTTTAATGAAGGAATAACATCAGAAGATTAATGACATAAATGTTATAATGTAATAGTTCGAATGTTGTAAATTAATAGTTTAAATGTTATAAAATAATAGTTTAAATGTTGTGAATTAATGGTTTAAATGTTATAAATTAATGGCTCAAATATTATAAATTAGTGGTTTAAATGTTGTACATTAATAGTTTAAATGTTGTAAATTAATGGTTTAAACGTAAAGTAATTGTTAGAAATTGTTTCTCGATCTTCGCGGCACGGGAGTTCAAACACAAGTGAAATCGCGCGCGAGTTGTATGTTCCTTATATAGATTTTCTCAAATTGTTGTCAAGGTGCCGGAAGTTCAATCGAACGGTAACGGTTTGCTGACATCAACAATGTTTTTCCGATATAATAGAATCAAACTTATTAATCTGTTTACTTTTATTGTTAATTGGCACCTCCACTAATTTGTTACAATAATCATTTTTATAATTTTGATATTTTTTATAAGCCAAAATTAAACTTACACTTCTGTGGACCTAGTTTTTCACTTAGAACTGTGTTAGTTTATATCAAATGCAAGTTTATGATGAAAATAACCGTAGTATCATAGTCAAAAGGTGCAACTGTTATATGCTAAGAGCATAATTATTTTTATTTAATGTGGGACTATAGTTATAAGTTAATAGCATAATTATTGAAAATTAACGGAATAATATTATCAAGTATAAAAAGACTGACTCAAAAATGCACAATACAATTTATTGATAATTCAAACATACAGATTGCGCCTTATGGAAAAAGTAAAAGAACAACGAAAGAAATAAAAAGATCGATGCAAAGATCGATAAAGATAAATATATCAATCGAGTTTATCGATTTTTACAATTATACTAAAACTAAGGCTTAAAACTAACTTCGAAACTTTATTTAAGATTTAGAAGTAAAGTTAAAGAGTAACGTTTAAAACAAAGATTTAAACTCAAGAATAAATCCCTCGTTGTTCGTGGCCTTTCGTAATCAATTAACTAATTCAACTTAATCTAGAACTAAAATCTACTTAAAAGTGAAGCTAAAGATAGATATTAAAAATAGATACTAAATAGATACTACTAACAATCTTTCTCATCAAAAACTTTAACTTGAAACGAAATAAAAAGAAACGTAACTATAAACAATTTGTTAAATCCATTATATTATTTAATGATTTAATTTTTAAAAAGATTAGAATGAAAGAGTTTTAAACTTTTCGCTCTATGTTAGACAATGTATTTTTCTACAAAAGACGCGCAAAATGGATTTTGCCTGAACATATCTATCTTAAAATTAATTAAAACGATCCACGTCAAGTACTAATAATTTACCAAGGTATATCTGTTAATTAAAATTAAGACGAACGCATGCCATGTTAGTTGTCTAAGTTGAGAGTTAAAATTAATACTTAAACCTAAACGTTGAAAATAAGCGTGCATATACCATCTATCTTTCACAGAACGATTACACGAATATTTACCAGCTTAAAATTAATCACGCAACGTCCACTTCCTACACACCGATTACATCGACTTTTACAAACATCGTATAATAATTCGCAAGCCTGCTGGCATCATTCAGTATCAAATACACTCAGTACATTCGCCTAACTTGCAACGGAGGAAAAAAAACGAAGCTACTGACCCTTTACTTATACTTTCGTGTCTGGCAACAGGGAAATTCGGGACGTTTTGTTAAAGTCTAACGCTCTACCTTCGCGACACTAATATCTTTTAAAATATCAAACACTTATCTGACCGACCTAACATTTCTTAACGGAACATCCTTCGAAAATGCCAAGACAAAAAAAAATCGCGATCAGTTACAAAATAAAATATGCGCGCCTGAAATGAACGAGCTCGCGATCTCTCGGAAGAAACATCAAACATACGCGACGCATTCCCGTGTACAAGATAACCCTAAGTTTCAGCGGGAGGTCGAGCGATTGACCATCGCTCGATTTCTGTCTCGCCGTTCCAAACTTACACGCGCTACGGTCGAAACCACCGACCGACGATGCCGCGGTGGTCCAGGCAAGGATCGAGCATACAGGCCTGTAATCTGGCACGCTCCAACTGAACAAATGGGGCACCCGGTGGGAGGGACCATTGAACAGGATTACCAAGGTATGCCCCAACTGAACTAGTGGGGTCCACTGTCGGTGGGAGGAACTCACTGGACAGAATTATGAAGGACATCAAATTACAGGTCTAAACTCCGTCCGAGTACCGCAGTACTAATTGGTCAGGACCGCATATCCTCGACTGGATTCCGCAAATACCGAGTTCGTCTCAAATCAGATAAGCATCGTCGTATAGAAAGAACTCGTAATGGTTTTTAACATGAGTATCTATGTTTTCTGCGGGGAGGTAGTTCAACTCAATTTGGATGATTCGATATTCTTTTCGGGATCTAGACTGGACTGTATTAAAGTAATTTTGTTTTTATTATATTGTTTTTCAAATATACTTGGAATATTAATATGTGTATCGCTTTACAAATAGTAATAGATTTCCAATATTTTAATTGATATTATACCGACTCTCTTTTTTATGATTTTAATATGATTCTATCTACAATAATGTATATGCGCCCGAGAATCAAAAAGTCGAGAATAAAAATGCTATAAATTGCAGAGGGCGTGAGAAACATTTTACTTCTTTCGAAGTCGGTATTTCAGAACGTGATATAAGAATTCCCATGGAGGTCCCATTTAATGTCATGCCTATCCTTCATCAATGACTCTGTTATGAGTAAATGAGATTGTATGACTGCAATCTAAGAGTACAAATAGTTTCTAATCTCAAGTAGGGAAAATGTAATTACAAATGGATATAAAAAGATAGAAAAATCAATAACTCCATGACATGTAATAAATTGTAGAGGGCGTAATAAAACCTCTGAACGGTCGGTATTATAGAACATTTGACGCCACATAGTGCTCGGTGGTGGCGCGATATGCCGTAAAATTCCAGCATTGACCAGTGGTGCCAGGTTCATTCTTTTCGCGTTTATCGACCGAGTTAAATATATGTACTTCCTATATTCGCCGTAACAAATCGAAGAGGGCGTAAGGAAGACTGATCTTTTTCGAGGTCGGTAATTTCGAAAAGTGAGACTCGGAGTCCCGTATAATGTCAGATCTATCCTGTATTTAGTCGATGAAAATGTAACGGAAAAATGTAACGAACGTTAGTGTCTATCTAAAAAAACGCGTTCGTCTCATTGATCACGCTATTATTAATGCTATACTTCGACTAAGATCAGTTATAAAACGAATTCGAAAATGCATCTTAGGTGAGTACACATTTAAAATTCATATTTATTCTTCACTTTTCTACACCGAAATGGCATCGACGATGAAAGTAGTCACGATAACTCACAGATAGAAGTACCAGTACTTTCGTTATGACCTTGTTTCGAGCATACGTAGTTCGCGAAACGCAGCACAAGCATTCTTTGTACCCAAGGAATTAAAGCTGTACAAAGCTATTTATCGTTGGTCCGACGAGCAATGAGTTAGTCAATGAATAGGGCCATATATGCAACACGCTCGATGCTCTCCCCCTTTTTGCGCGCAGAGCATAGTACTTCTGCGAAATCAGACAAGGTGCGCCTGCGAGTAAAATTTCAACGTAAAAAAGTTAGCCTTCTGTTTTGTTATTTTTTTGGGAGGAGTTCAGTATCGTTTACGCAGCTGTATGTAAAGGCTCGTTGTAACGAACGGTTAAAAACAATCGTTCCGATATCGAGTTGCACGAAATCGAATGTACAAGGTGTCCCAAAATAAAGTGCATAAGTTACCAACTAAGTCATGATATCAATTGGAATTACAGATATATTTTATCATTCGCGATTCTAAGACGTCGTACGTACGTAAAAAAGTATACATATATTTTTATTTAGAGAATAAAGAAAAAATAAGAAAAAATGTGGTCATAGTAATGGTTTAACGATCTTAGCTTTTTTTTCTTTTCTTTTTTGCTATTTTAACCTTCTGAATACTAAAACACTTTGCAGCAAAATTTAATTCCTTCATTCTCGCGATCATTAAAAGTTGGAAAAGTCCTTCCTTTATTCCGAACGATCGTAGAAGAAGCAGTCATTCGCGATACACGATTCCATCGAAGCACATCGTTACGCTGGCTCCACGTTCCATTACCAGAAAATATTCAACCGGAATGATCGATCTGAATATCCCCTCGTAAGTTCGCGAAGCTACCGGTAATACCGACGGTATACTTCCGCCTCGCTGGTAAGATAATCTGCTTCCAGTGTCAGTGTTCTTCAACCTCGTTTTCAATTCGAAAATCACCGAAAACTATCGCGATCTATATTCTATTTTCCACGGCTCGTCGATAAATCACGAGAAACCCAATGAATCGTTTTTCCTTTTAAAATTCACCGAAATGTTCGATAAACGTCGATGTAGCTTCCTATTTCCGTCGATTAAAAATTGAAGAACACTGTCGTACGAGAAAGGTCCTCGTGTAGTATCTCGTCGCGGCAGACGTCGCGTTTCGAATATTAAGCTTATCTCGAACGACGATATCGTTAGGCCTCAGAAATGATGTTTAGCCCCGTTCGAGATTCCCCTGCCTCTCGTCCCTCGATTCTTTCTTCTTCCGCGATATCGGCGAAACGAGACTGTCTAACGAGAGACGCAGTCTGGAGAGATGAAAGCTTCGACGCGCATCTAATCGGCTTCATTATGCGCGCAGTAAAGAGCGCATGTTAACGCTGATTAATTGCTCGTTGACAGCTTGTTTAAACGAGCTCGCGCGCTGCTTTTTCGTCCTCCGTATCGGAGAAGGTTTCTCGCTTCTTTCCTCGTTGCCTCTGCCGAATGGCACCCTTTTTCTTTCACCGTTTTTACCTTTTCTTCCGTTTCTCTTCGGCCACCGTCGACAACTTCGCCCCGCTACGACGCGTCGTTCAACCGCGAATGAATTAAAATCACAATGGAACAATTTCCCCGTAAGACTTCGCTGGCGAGTGTATTTGCCCGGCGAGCGATTCACCGGCTACCACCGGTTTCTAAATGAAGCGATCGTTCTACAGCCGAGCAGAGAGAAAAAGTGTTCAAGAGCGGTATATTTATTTTTATAATTCCTTCCCTCGTGAAATTTCTTACGCTTTATGTATATGTGTGATTTTCATATATCATAGTATGATATCATTCATGAATATTTGAAGACCAGCGAAAAAGTGGAACAAGTGCACAGTCTTTCTAATAACGAGATAAGTACAGGAAACGATACGTACAGTTCGTAAGTAGGTTTCATAGGTAGGCTTTATGACTACGCGTAGCCAAGTATTTTAACGTTCGAAGGCATACAGGTTTCTCTATCAATCTTTCCAACTTTGTCCATAATCTTTTTAAATCTTGTCGCTCTTTTTCCTCTGTGTCTCGTTTAATTCGCTGACTAAAGTTCTATCATCGCTAACGAACACTGATAATCGTTAGTTCAGTGGAGTGGAAAGTCTATTACCAAAATCTAATCCCGTTTAACTAGGATCAATTCAAGCACCGTCTAAAACTAAAACTACTGCGAACAAAAACATGCTCCCATCAAAGATAAATAATTTTGTCGAAGTAACAGAAGCAATTACGTATTCTCGCTGAATTAACGATTCAATTATCAATTCTCCGGCTCCTAACCAAACTATCAACCAAACAGCCATTAAACGACCAACTTCCACGTAAGAACCAATCGACCGGATGCGCTTATGGCTAATTTACTGCGGGAATTACATCGAAAACGCGTCGCTCGAGCAGCGATGCTCGGATCCCTATCTTCGAAGGTGTGGGGAAAAAACCTTCTCGGGTTCGATTTCCACGAATTTCACTGTTCGCGCGCGAAAAATTCTTACGCGATTCTCGGTAGCCGAACCGAGCGACAGAGAACGACACACGGGTGGAGAAGCGGGTTTAAGCGGGTTGGGCTTAAACTCTACGATTTTAATTAATGTCGCTTGCTCGGCGACGATCCATTTTACAGCGGCGCCCCTCTGTCGTAAACGCGAGATCTTTCAATCGCGTGGAAAGTTTGCACGTTAATTATTTCGCCATCGAACACGGTGGCGCAGCGGCATACCGAACTGGTGGAGGTGGTGGACTTTCGAGTTTTCCATGTTACGCAACGAAGCGCAGGGATATTAGACAGCGAACGCGAAACGAAACGAAGCGAAGAAAAGCACGCGCGAGCGGAAAAGTTTCGGATCTGGTTCGCAAGGGGATATCGCTTCCGACTGCTCGAATTTTCGGAAAGTCTGCAACCACCGACAAAAAGGCCGTCGTTTCGTTCAACCGAAACGTCCTGCAGGAATAAATTTAAACGGTTCCGCTTTAATTGCACCGCCGTTTCCGTTTCTCCTTTCGTTTCTTCGCGAACGGGCTGGGAATCTAACGAAACCGAGCGAACAGAAGAACAAGGGTGTTTAACGTATTTCACGCTAATCGTAGCAAACTTTCCACTCGCACAGAGTATCGTTACGTAAGAGATATTCCGTTGTGGATTGCCACCGCTTTTTCGTTCGTTTAACCACTGCGATTCAATATGATTCGCAGGTTTGATATTTCGAGACTCTGCGTGGGACAATTTACGAGCGATTAATCGTTGTAACGTGTGCGTTTTTGTCTTCGATGGATACATCGACGCATCGCACGTGACGGATAACATAATTGAAGGAAAAACTGTTGTTACGCGAAGAATTTCAACCGTAGGAAGTCGAGCGTGCGATATGAAGCGATGAAATTTTTATCGAGCATCGCCGAAGCTTCTACAAAGGCTTCCACGATTACTGTACCGCTGAATATATTATTACCTTTATATGTAACGTTTCACGCGCAGCTGTGGCCACGAACACCTAACTTATTGCTCCTAATATTCCTTCCCCTAATGATTTTAATTAAACGCCACTCGTGAATCTAACGGTCCGTTTAAATCGCACGAGTCAACCGTTTTCCGCTGATTCTCAATCACAATGATATCATACGCGAAGAAAAGAGTTCTATCGTAATATCGAATATACAAATTTTTGATTTATCTCGTATTTTTTTCTATATCCACCTCGACGATATTCTTCAAGATTTGAATAATTTCCTAATCTTCCTCGATGTGGATCTCGCTTTCCGCAAGTGTCGTGATACCTACGAACGGATTTGTACGAAAGTAAAGCTAAACCTACGGGTTAGGATCACATTCGAAGTATCGGAATGATCGCAGGACATTGACTAGTATCTCAGGCTGATCTCTGATTCGTCGCCGTACTGTCGTCAGTCCTGTTTCGTTCGTTCGTGCGTGATGTTAACAGAGAATTCGGTTTTTCCCTCGTACCTTCAGAGATTATTCTCGTGGAGGGTTTCTGTGCAGCGTCGACATGCACTTACCCTCGGATAGACAGGCAGGGTTCCTAAAGGGTGATCCCATGACAGTAATCCGATACTTGACCGATACAGGTCGTTGCGTGGGATATGAAACACGTGTTTCCGTGGGCGACAGGCCCCGCCACTTTTGGAATATTTATCAATATGTGTGGCCGAAAGCGACGCCCCAGCACCGCCACCGTTCTTCTAGAAATAGCGCCTTTTAAGTAGCCTCGCGCCACTGCTATGCACAAGCGGTACCGTTAATTTTTAAATGCAACGGGCGATAGTTTGCCAGGGACACGTTCCACCGTGAAATTCGGCGGTTGTCCTATCTTTTAGCGAACGAAAGCGCGTCGAAAATCGTCGCGGTGACGGTGTATGTAAATTCGTGACGAGGATCGTCATGGACGTTCGATGAATTATAGATGGGATTCGCTATGCTACGAATATTCCAGGTATTTGATTCGTATTTGTTTGGATTAATGCTGATTGCCCAACCAGCGAAAAATATACGTTTCGAGATTCCCTTGGATTCTTCTGTTATTTTTTATCGTCGCACAAACATCGACACGTTCAGTGAGAAATCGTTACACGTATCGAGCACGAGGAGGAAACTGAATGACAACGTCGATACGTCCATCGATACAATTTTTTGTTTTCTTTTTTTTTATCTTTCAATAATCTCATGCGTATTCTGATCATTTTTTGAAAATCGACAATCTTTCTCGATATAGAATCGAAGGGATCGAGCACATGCCGCGTTCGCGATCTTTCTGCAAATTTTTACGCGTTGATGTGTACCAGACCTATTCGTTTTTCGAAAGCGCCGAATAAATACTGACATTTTTTTCAGGGGTATATTTATTAAATCCGGAAGGTGATAATTATTTCTCTATTTTTCTTAATTATGCGTATCTAAAATATATTCGAAATTAGTAAGATAAACGTGGTTACAAGATATTTGCTCGTACGTGGTCGTCGTATCTTTATCGAACGACGGACGATCAAACGCGACGAGAATCGACGGGAATCTATGTACGAGCGAGCGGTACAAATGTTTTTCGGAGGGCCGAGGATTCTTTAGGGTTCGCTGGTGGCCGAACGACGGAAGCTCGGTCAGTGTCTCGGCCACCCTCGTGCCGTGCAGGTTTGCGAGGGAGGAGACTGCTTGTTCCCGGCATCCCCTCTAGATATACATACATATCCCCCTCCTCCTCTATCCCTCTCTCGACTTAATGCCAGTACGAGCGCGCGCTTTCGAACGACGCGTCGTGTCGGCCGCGAGGGACGATCAGTCTGTTCTCCACGTTCTCCACGCAAGGACGATCGCCGCTGGCAATCCGTCCCTCTAATCTGTGACACGAACTTTGACCCGCGCTCCCGCTCGCCTTCCTCGCGATCGTCTCTTATCGCTTCGTTTGTCCGATGACGTACGCTCGTCATGTTCCTCGATCGGCGTCCGACCCAGCTCTTCAGTAGCGATTACGTTTTCATCGCGTGAACACGCGTATCACTCGTTTGCTTCGTCTTCCTTCTACCTTCTGTGACCGCGTATCGGCCGAATCGTCGATTTTACCGTTTTTCATCGCGTCTCGTCTCACGTGTCTTCTCCGGTTTGTTCGTGCTTCGTTGTGCATCTGCGACAAAGGGTAGTTCTTCCTTCGCTTTTTGGTCTTCACGTCATTCCGATAGATCCTCTTTGTTCTTTTTTTTTTCTCTCCTTTTTTGGTCGACCGACCGAGGCGAGGGCAAGGACGACGTATCGATCGCATCCATCGAGCGTGACTGAGTTCGGACATGTGATCGGTGGCATCTCACTCGAGAAAATTTCTCCCGCGTTTCGAGTGGTGGTCTCGAGTCGTCGGTGGAGGACGAGCACGTCGAAAGGTGGAAACGAGAAGAGGGTGAAAGAGAAGTAGTGGCAAATGCGTTGGTGTAGGCGGTAGTACGACTGGTCTTTTATGGCCTAGCTGGGTACATAGAGGGAAGAAGGCACTCGTGTCGTTTGGACCCGATATCGACGATATCGAGATGAGATTGCTGCCGTTGCTTTCCATCCTCTGTTTGGCGAGTCGATGCGCCGATTGCCGGGCGGTCGACGCCGATCCCGGGGAGAACGAGAACACCGTCGGAAGGCACAGGCATAAATTCACCGTGGAAGAGCTGTTGAATACCAAGTTCCCTCGTGGCATCAGCGACGACGTCGATGTGGACATCTGTAAGGCGGGTAAGCGAAGAAAAGATATCTCGCGGATAGCTGCGAACATCGGAAACATGGCGTGTCGCGGTGTTTCTTTCTATACATAGAAATCATTGCCATAAAACGAAATATAGATTAGAAACGAAGGATTTCGCGGAGCGGAAAATATTTAGAACGATTCCGATCGCTGCAACGAGATTCTCTTCCTATCTAAAGGGAATTTCAGTTCCCTAAAGGGAAACTGAAAATATTTCGCGTATAAATGACTATTATTTGCAATTAACGAAATATATAAATCGTAAATAAAGAAATTTAATGGAAATGTCACTACGTCGAATATGGAATCCCCTCCCCCGGCAGTTGACCGAGAGAAATTGTGCAATTAATGTACTTCTAATTACATGCTCGATAAATATTTAGATTCAATTAAGCACGAGTGTTCCGGTGCTATGTAAATGCAATTATATAAAACATATATCTTCGATTCGCTATGAAAATGATAAAAATGTGTACGTTATCAGCACGGTGGTATAGATAGGAAAGAAATTTTCCTCTTTTTCCGCTAATTTCGTAATACGTGTTGCGAAATAGTTAACTGTAGGAGATATAATTACGAAGAAGCATCGTTACGCTTGATACCGAATCCGTATGGTGTTGCAACATATCGGCGATCACAAGCAAGCGCATTGCTCGAATATTCTCTGTGTATCTTTGCTAGTAGTTGGTCGTGATGTTTCCATTATTATAAAAAGATCTGTCCAAATTGTACGAACATTTAAATCTTCGGATCGCTCGAAAACGCTAAATAACTCGTAACGTGACGTAAGTGATGAGAGCACAGCTGAGCTCGGCGTTGAAACTATCCACCTCTAAGTGCGAATATCGAGTGGAAGAATATTCTTGCGTGTGAAGCAAATAATCGTCGAAAGGTTATTACTCGGAGACCTAGGTAAGACGTTGGAATCAAGAACGCGCATCCATTGGAAAAGTCTCGATCGTTTCTTGGTCCTTCGCAGCCATAACGTCGGCAGTTCGATCGAGTTTGGCCAACTGAATCAAAGCCAAGCTACCGTTTATATTGTCGCGCATAGATCCCATTTCCCCGG